CATCCACACCTGCAGTGGGACTAATGAGTGCCTGAAAGCGCAGCATCATCAGGAGGGGCTCGTCTGGTTTATTCCATCAGTGAAATCTGTTGTTTTGAAACGTTTCCCTTCTTAATTGAGCCACGTTGGTTCTGCAGTGTAGAGCAGCAGTCGTGTCTTTATCCTCCGTCGTATTCATAGGCAGATACTGCTGTGATCAACAAACCAGTCGACAGCAGAAAATATTAAAGGCAGTTCATCTCTTTCGAAAAGCATTCACTTTTCTCTTTTGTTTTTCTATAAATGTGGGCTTTGTCAAGTTCAAGGATGGGCTGGCACATCTGCAAAAGAGCAATAGCAACACGTGGTGCACTGACGTAAACATGGAGGCCAGTGTAGTCAGCATTTATGGTGTCGGTTATGTCGATGTGCTGTGGAAACCTGCAAAACCGTGAGCTCCAGGATAAATGGAGCCAACTATGGGCTTCTGTGGCTGCCACTTCTGCATGGAGGGTTAGGGTTGGGACTTAGATGACTACATTGAAACGCAGTTAGGCACAATTTAAGGATGTGATGAAACATTTTTAACCACATCCATGAGCACTTCGCTAGATGACTCTCACGGTAAGATACTAGAGTCCAGGAAGTGACATACAAGTCCCTTTACTTCTGATTTGACTATTTAGATGTGCTGTGTACTTGATACTCGCTTATGAAAATGAGAAGTGAAATGATTAGATTCTAGATTCTGTGTAATATGTGCTGCTCTTCACGTTGTCATGAAAAAGAGTTCAACACACAAATAAATTGGGTCACATTAGGCTGTGGTATGATGAACCTGTTCTAACATTGGACATTTCTCTAACCAAACTGTTTGTGGTCGTGTTCGTGGTTAGCATTTATTAACCAGTTGTCAGCTGTGTGTTGGAGTCTTTTTATTTCCTGTTCAATCAGGCTGTTTTTTTTTTCCACTCCTCTCATGAGTCAGGCTGTGAATCATCTACAGAGATGCCAGGATAATAATTTTGGATAATAACTTTTTCAATTAAGGGGTAACATCAGGGCTAAAGGATTCTGGGAAAATTATTTTTTGTGACAAAATTCTGTTGTTGTTGTTTTTTTACAGTGAGTCAGGTTTCAGTTCAGTATTTACAAGCCATCAACTTTTTAAAAATCTTTTTCAGTCATCCTTGTAACGATTTTTGATACGTTGCTCATACCGAGGCTGCTGGCTGCCTGTGAGCCCTGGATAGCTTTAGCTTTAGCGCCTTTTTCTTTGTAAGCTTCTTTGAAAAGTCCCTGCGTCAGCTGCGTGAGGATGATACAAGTGTCTAAGTAGGGTATCGTTTCATTTTTGAGGTGATCTCCCTCTGATTTACTCTGGCAAAATGGCGTCTTCAATCACAGTGAGGAGCTTCCATGCTAACCACTTGTTAGCATGTGGCTGCGTGACGACTGTTCGCCTGAAACTGACTGCCTCATAATCAAACATACATGAAGCTGGCTGTCTGATCAGTCCGGTCTCTGGCCGGTCCATTGGTGATGCACTGTGTGTTTTCCTCTCTGCCACACATACAACTGAGGATGCAAGAGGCAGGTGAAGATAAACTTAGGATTATACTTAAACTGACATCATTTCATTAAATAAAAACTGCAAACTGTAAAGGCCTTTTTCCAGAGCTTGATCCTTTACGAATCTGAGTTTTAAATTTGAATATGTTGTCTTGATATATTTAATGTCAGCTAAACAGCACATGCTGCAGAGCCCTGTCAGCAGAGGTTGTTATAGCAACAGGATGTCCAACTTGTGGTGTGGAAACAAAGTAAGTAATTGAAATTTGTTCTCAATAAACTAAAACCACCGAAATTATAGAAGGATTTTTGTCACTCTTCTGTAGCTACTATGCAGATGTAACCTTGATTAGTCAAAGGAAACTCGATACATAAACAGAAGGTTTATTTCTACCTTTGTTATTTGTTGAGCCCTTATAGGTGCACCTAGTTTATTGACCTGTCCAAAGCAAACATATGAGGCTTGTGTTGTGCACTGAGTCATCGCCCCATCACTCAGCCAATCCATCTGTAACCGTCACTCTGAAATCCAAATGGAGACGGATACAATCTCTGTAATGCTTCTCCTTATTGCTGCTGACTCCACAGCAGCTGCAGTAGTGTCTTACACAGTCACTACTCCTTACTGTTCACTGGACAGGATAGGCAGCGTCTAATCAGGAGCATTTCATCCCTGCTTCTTCTCCTCCTACATCCTGTCAAACCTCAAAGGGAGCGACATGAGCTAATAAGCAGCTCTTTCAGAATCTCTGTTACGGCCCCGTTCAGGTCTGTGGGAATCGGGCTTTACTCTGGACTAATGTCTCAGAAAGATTTTGACGTTACCCCACTGCAGTAGTAGTTAATGATGTGGCTGTGTAGGAATGCAGAGGAAAGCATGAGGATGTGTTTCATGATCTGTTTTAATGATCCCAACCACTTAAGGTCACAGTGATGAACAAACCTTTGTGTGATAAGCCCCGTTCATTCTTAGTTTCTCAAGATATTAAAAATGTAAAGAGGAGTTTTGTTGTGGTGCCTGGAATTGATGTGTTTCCTGTACTGAAGGTCATGAGAGTTACCCCGTTGTATGTTTTGATTGGTTTGGCACTTATACTGTATTTATACTTCTCTCTGTGTGTGGGTACCATATAATGAAATGCTGTTTCTACTGTAGGCTGTTTCTTTTTATTGAAGGTAAATGTATCTGATATTATATTTGCATATCTTACTAAATACTTAAATAAAACAATTATAATTTGTGTTGTAAACTTCTGACACAGTTATTTAGTTTAGTTTTACTCTTTGTCTCAGGGACTGTGTGCAAAA